GCTGAGGAGGCTTCACAGCGACCCGATTGAGGGAAAACCTGAGAAAATCACTGAAAGGTTCTTTAGTTGTCCTTTATTTTATTATTTACTCTTTGTTCTGCCACATTTTTTTTATTTATTCACTTCTACCCAGAATATCAGTGACCCTGGGTTAATTAAGGAATATTAGAGAAGAGGAAAATAATAATGCAAATCAGACAATAACTGCCAAGACTAACGAAGAAATAAAGTTTATTCTAACCCTCGTAACTATTTCACTGTTTTTGTTGTGACATCTTTCGGTTATTTTCTGTTTATCCTGAATGTATTTTCATGTGTACTTTCTTATTTTGTTGTTTCTTTCATTTGTTCTCTTATCCTGTTATTTATTCTGCAGATCAATATGTAATGTTTGTTTTATATAAACTGATTAGGGAGTAAAATAACTTTTCTGCTGATTGTTGGTTTTTCTGGGTTTCTCAGCGAAGGGAAGACAACGCTCCACACACTCCTCCTCCTCTTCATCATCATCATCATCCTCCTCCTCCTCCTCTTCCTCCTCCTCAGACATGACCTGTTGACCTTCCAGACAACAGGTCATGTCCAGACATTCGCCGCTCCATCGCTGCCATGTCTGTCTGTCCTGCAGGAACTCGGCGGTTCATCCAGGAGTCGCTTCACCCCTTTCCTCCATTTTTAGAGTAAAACTTTCCTCCTGTTTCTCTCAGAGGAAATCTGAGTATCTGCTTTTCTCCTGGAAGTGGTTTCAGTTAGCAGAGAGTGAAAGGCCAGGCTGACGCTTCTGCCTCATGTCCGCCTGATATCAACACATGCTACCAAACACACCCTGCTCCCTCCAGAGCCGCGCGGTGTGTGTTTACTTGTTCAGCTTTCTAACCTGCTGTCAAAACCATCCTGAGGGGTTTCCCTGTTTTCTGTGTGGAGCAGCACAAAGAAACTCAGCATCACTTTTTGCAACATTCTGGACTAACCAATGTAAAATGCTGGGTTGTAACCAGGTCTGATGGAACTGCGTTTTACATGAAAACCCTGATTCATTTCTTATCATGAAGCCATACTATGAAAAACTAAAAATAATAATAAATATGAGAATGAAGACTTAATATTACCAGGATAAAGTAAAAATCTTGATTTCATTCTTGTAAGTTATTCATTTTTTATTTTCTTAGAGTGATCCTGATTGCGAATATCAAAACTCTAAATTTAGACCAGCGAACTGCGCATGCGCCGCGGCCATATTAGTTTCCGACAAACTCTGGTGGTGAAGTCTGTATAGTGAACGAAACAAAAATTATTCTCAACAGAATAATGGTAACAATAAAACACGGCTGCTTAGTGCCTGCCGGAGTGACTGAAGATATGATCAGGAGCGAAAGGAGCTTTTTTGTTTATTCCATCTCCAAAATGACTCCAAAGGAATACTGAGGAACATCAGCGCTGGATAGAGTTTGTTTACAAGCGAGAGGATTTACTGTAGAAAATGCGACCAAAGTCGCTGATATTTCATCACATTTCATCAGTAGAAATAAGGAGCCAACAGTTGATTTTCCAGACCAAATACCCGCGACTGCAACATCTGTTCAGGTATGTTTTTATGACTTTTCTCTATCGTAATTTCATTTTTATTTTATCCAACTTTTACGTTGTTGACGTCACATACACGTCATAATTATGCAGCAGAAGAAAGCAGACAGTAAATCTGGACTTAAAAGTATGTCTGAAAATTCTAATAAAGAAGTGATGAAAGAAGTCAGTCAGTGAACGCATCACATCCAAACCGGTTGGACGTGGTACTGTGGCTGTGATTGGGCAGGACGCATTGCGTCACTTCCTGTTGTCGCTGTTTCGCTCTGTGTAGCTGGTGGGTTTGAGACGCTCTTTGTTTCTGCTCTTTTATCTGTCCAGAGATGTTACCTAGATATTGTAACACATAGACACGTTAAAACACGTTTTCTGTTGCTGCACGTTACGTTTTGGGAACTCTTCGTGTTTCTCACGGTTTTTTCGGGGCAGTAATGGCTCGTTAGCTTAGTTAGGCTAGCGCTAGCTTAGCATCAGCGCACCTCTTCCTGTCTCTCCTGTTGTCTCTTCGTCTCTTTCTGGGTCTCCTCCTGTCTGCTCTGATCTGGTCGCCATGCTGTCGACTCTTAACATAGACATAATATAAGGATAGACCCTCATGGACCGCTCTCGCCTATTGTCGCTGA